CCCCAAAACCCCAAAACCCCAAAACCCCTCCAGCATATTTAAGGATAGAAACAGCTATTATTAATTATTAAAATGAATAACACTGAGTACGAGTATAACCGAGCCTGTATCGTCGTCAATGGCAATGTAGGCAGCACAGCACACAGGCCTCCGTCCAGGAAAGACTTCGTCAACTCGCTGAGGAAAGGACAGTTCCTCAGGTACAATAAGTTCTTTGAAGAGGAGATTAACAGAACTGTGGAGAACAACAACCGCGGGATTTATACTAACTGTATTGAGTTTATCAAACAACATTGTATTAAATGTTTCTCTAAGGATGTGCCTACCAACATTGTGATTACTAATTGTGAGAGCAGTTCAAACAACGACACCCAGTTTGGTTCTCTCTTTGATGCTCTCAAGAGACATCAGATCCTCAATTTCGTAATTGATGAGAAGAAGTGCGGGACTACTAAGAATATGATAAGTTACATCCAAAAAGGCGTAGGAGATCTCTTCGGCCCAGAATACAAATCTCAAGGCGATCACTCAGACGAAGAACTCAAAGTAGTCGTCTCCTCTGACGAAAGCTCCTCAGGTGATGAAGACAGCGAAGACGACCAAGAAGAGAGGCGAAGAGGAATTTCCCAAAAATCTCAAAAGGACTATCCCATGGAAGACCAGGAGAACACTGCTCCGAAATCATACTCGCTTGGGAGGCCTCTTCCAAGCGAGAAAAAGTGAGAGCCCTACCAAAGAGGAGATGATGACTTTGAAGATTATACTAAAGCATTCGCCAAGGCGCCATATTGGTATTTAAGGGGTTTAGGAGACCTTGAGAGAGAAACTAAAGCAAGCTCACTCGCAACGGATAAGATAGGATTCTCTGGAGTCAAGAAAATGATAAAGAATGCACAGTGAAAGCATCCCATTGTGATTGTTATTCAGAACATTAAGACTTTCCCTACTGACAACCTGAATGATTTGATATATCTGATCAAGAAGTACCGAGCGAAGCATAAGTTAAAGTTGTGCTTGATGTTGGGAGTTAAATCGAACAGTTATGAAGATCTGATGTCCAAAATAAGTATAACTACTTCGAACTTCATGATTGTGAAAAAGTTCTATTTCCCCTCAATCAAACGCATCTTGCTTGAGGTGATCTACCGGTTATTAAAATCTAAAAGAAATTGCTATATATTTGGCACGAAATTCCTCAGCTCGATAATAGAGAATATCCAAGTCTATGGATTGAGCCTGGAGAAGTTCAAGCGAATAATGCACTTCCTGATTGCCCACCACTTCCGTACTAACAAGTACTTCTTCGTGAATGGCATGATACAACCAAGTGAGGAAATCGAGCTTTTGGATCAAATCAAGAACGAAGATATGGATCTTAAGTGCTTAAAAGTAGTAATGAAGCAGTTTGAAGAACAGAATGATAATCTGCGTGAACTCGAGAACTGCATTAAATCCTTAAATATGTCCTCTACAGAGATCATAGAGACACCTGCAGAAGAGCTCAAAGGAGTACTCTACGAATTTTACAAGAAAAAGATGCTTTATTTTAAAGCGTATGACCTGCTAGAAGAACTCTGTATTTACTTCTTGGCTGCAGATTCCAAAGGAAACGAAGGAATTTTCAAGAACTGCTTCTGACTTAACATCTTTTCGTGCAAAACCGTCGACCAGAAGATGAAAGTAGTGGTTGAGGAGCTGGAAGTCCCTGACTGGAGCAAAGTCACTGATTGGCTCCTGGATCAGTTGAGTAAGAGGAAATCCAGATTTCTAATTCAGTGACATAAGGATCTCCAAGAGAGAATTTCACAAGCCAAGAGCATTGATGTTACTATGGGAGGTAAATCAAAACCCTCAAATCGTACTAAGAAGCTAATCAATAGCTTTAGCAAAGATGTCTTCCAAAAAGAGGATACTGAGATAACTCTAAACTCTCAAGACCATGAGAAGATCTTCAAAGGGTGGCTGAAAAACTATATTTTCTGATACCTAAACCTGGACCTGAGCATGATCGAGAAAGAGGCATTCATACTTGAGAATTCTCAAATGACCGCGAGAATTAGTCCAGATATTCAGGGAAATATGGCAAAGTCCATAATGGACTCTGCTGATTGCATCTTCACTAACTTTAAAGCTAACTATGAGGTCAAATCCAAAGACGACCTCAAAAAGAGTGATGAAGAGTACTTAACCCAATACGAGAAGGATGTAACCAAGCTGATGGAGGGATACAGGCTTTATGGCAAGGATATCGATGTTAATGACTGGTACAAGAAGTTTTGACACAAAATTCGAGATGAAGAAAGTAAGTCTTGCATGACCTAACCTTTTAAGGACCTCCAGATAATAGAGACAAGCATGAACCAGCTGTTTTAGCAGATAGATTCTTGAAAGCACTGGGAGATCTCAAATTTATGGGCTTTATTAGTGAAAGTGGCAGAGGAACGTACATATTTAAAAGAAACTATTTTGGCAAAAACATGCTGAAGTTGATATAAAGGTGGATAAATTGCGCTAATTTAGTTGAATTTTCAATATATTACCATATTGGAGGGGTTTTGGGGTTTTGGGGTTTTGGGG